GTTAGTAATATCTCTATATATATATATATATATATATAATGAATAGTGATTTCAAAAAGTTTAGGGGTTATTTTGATCAAAAAAATTTGCGAGTTATTTTTTTATATATTTTTATCAGGTGCACATCACTAAGATGTATACAGGCTCCAAATTTCAAATCATTACAATTTGAAAAAAAACAAATGAAAAATGAAACACTACTGGACAATCGAGATCGTGCGATGAACTTTGGACGGTGATGAAGGTAAGCAAAATCATTGTTCATTTTCACCTATAGGTATATATATATATATATATATATTAAGGTTCAGTGTTTCAATGGTGTGGCTTATATAAGGTCAAGACCAGTACAACGCACCTTCAAATAGTACCGAATATATTGTTTTAATATCATAAATCTTTGTAATGACCTGAAAATTTATTTCTACCATTATAAAATTTAAATACTAAAAAACAGTGTACATCGAGAAAATCTATGAACACTTGAAAAGTCTTGAAATTTGTTTTTTCTTATGTCCATACATTTTGAGGTCGAAATGATCAAATTTAGGGTTTTTTAGCATCAAAACAACCTTTTCTATTAAATTTTTTAGGTACGCATTAATTTGATTGTTTAGGACCTTACAAAAAAGAAATTCAAGGATATTTGGGCATCAGAAAAACCTCTTTTAGTAAAAATTTTGAGTCGGGCTCTAATTCGATTGTTTAGAGCCTCAGCTGTATAAAAACTTTTTCTTTATATAATATATATTACTTATACCTTGTTGTATCTACTAACTAAATTCGAATGCCATAATTGCTTAATGGTGCATTTATTATCCACAGAGCAATAATTAGAAGGTAAAAGTTAAAACATGCATATCTTTATGCTGCCCTTCAATGCATGAAAGTATCATAAAGCTGTTATTGTGCATGCCCTTTAATGTATGGGCAATTGCCCATACACATAATTATAAAGATTTTTTAATAGATTACTACAATTATCATATGCACATCTTATAATTTATTGCCAAATTTTATATGGGTGCATATGGACTAAAAAAAATCTTTTATTCATAACCTAATGTAAATAACTCTATATGTGCTTCGAATTTGCAAGCTTCTAATTTCAAATTAATTGATGTACTTATGTTAATATCAAAGATGTGTTGCATATGTGTATGTATACGGACATGTCGGTGCCATATTAAATTTTTGGGCCAGCATACTAGATAATACTCATACTAGATATAACACTTGTGTATGTTTTCATGTAACACAGCCAACGATTGAGATACTAGATATAACACTTGTGTATGTTTTCATGTAACACAGCCAACGATTGAGATTTCACAAGGCCATGTCTAACAACTAAAAATTAATTTCGTATTCTAGGTTCACTCTGAACCAATAAAAGGTGCTGGTGTACCTTTTAAATAAATAAAGGGAAAATTCTATGAAAAATTATCCAATGCAAAATTGTATCATAGTATAATGCAACGACACTTCTAAAAAACCATGTTTGTGGTATTTGTATGACCTTAAATTTTGCACACACTCTCTTCATCTCAATAACCATTCTCCAAAAAAAAAAAAGTTCAATTTGAACCCTAGATATGGTCAAAATGAGTCCCCTCCAAAAATGAATCTAAACCATTCATTTTGTGAATTTTAAGATCTTAGCCTTTATGAACTCAAAATCAATTTTTTCTGTTTTAACGTTATTCATCTAATAATAATAAAGCCATCCAAAAAAATTGGAAATGAAAAAATCCTTCTAAAACCTAGATCTAGACATCTCATCAAAATGAATGGCCTATGTTAATTGGGCTAAAAAAATATTTTCTAAATTACGTTTTCAATTTTTTCTTTTTTTGTGATTGTTCATTAGAATGAAAATTGTGTATATTTCAAATTTTGGATCAAACGAATGGCCATAAAATGGTTTTTAAATGTTGTTACATCGTATTACTATACATCAGTAGCATAAAATCATTGCCCAAATTATATATACCCACCCCCTGACCAAACTTTCTGGACACACTACCCCCTAATAGTTTTGATATCGCACTATTAACCTCAATACTATTTATCCTTACATTAATCCCTTTATAGAAGAAAATAAATTTTTTAAGACAAAAATACCCTTATGTATTTAAGATAGTTTCTCTCTTTAAAAATTTTAAATTTTAGAGTCTCAAAATTTCTAAAAAGAGAAACTACTTCAAATTTCAAAGTGTAAAACTATCTTGAATTCAAATTTTTATAGAGTGAAACTATCACAAATTGTTTTAGAGATTAATACATAATTTTAAGGTATCTCAAAATTTTCATGTTCTAAAGAAAAACTCTCTAAAAATTTGAGAGCAGAGAGAGAGAGAGCTAAGGGATGGGAAAGAATATGGGTTTATGCATAGGGAGCATTTTCATCCTAAAAAAATTGTTTTCTTATTTAATGATTCGATGCAAAAAAAAAATATATATAGAATTAGAGGTAGTGGTGTGATTTAAAAAATAGGGGGGTGGGTATGTCTACAAAGTATGATCCATGGGGTACCTATAATTTTCTCATAAATACACAACCCAGAGAGGGGAAATTCTGGATAAAACCCAAGCTCATGAAGAAATGCGTCATCCTATTGGTACACAATACCAAGCTAGAAAACCATTTTATTCCTTAATAAATTCATACAAATAACTGATATAAATCAAGGATGTGAGCCTATTTGGATGAAAAGTAAAGGAATATTGGCTGAAGATATTATATAAAATGAAATATAATAACAAAATGATTTTTAAGAGTCAGATTTCTTCGTCTCGTGTAGAGTTTCCGTAGCATCAGGAAAGCTTTGGAGTACCTAGTCAATGAAAACAAAGAGAAATCACATAACTAAACCATGAATGCCCCTCAAAAATAATGGTAATGGCTAGGAATCAGTGTTATCAAGATCAGATCAGTCATTAAAAAGGTGAAGGCATGGTCCAAATTGATCAGTGCACTGGTCAGACCAATTTCTAAAAAACTATAAACAAAAGCTATAACAAAGAAAAAGATTTGGACAAAACTAGCCTGAATCGGCAGACAGGTTTTGACCAATTTTGACCACTTGCGAGTTCATTATGGAATGTTTGATCCAACCAAACAAGGCACTACACCAGATATTCTCCAATTCGATGCCCATTTAGTGCTCCCCCAAGTTTGGGACCCCCCCCACTGTCGGTTGGACCAACATTCGCCTATTCTTGATTCAAACCAGCCAGTCTAATCCGGACTTAATTTCGCGGATAGGAATTCACGGCTGGCTTTCATAGGTTCACCTGATAGAGGTACCAAGAAGCATAAGCATCGGTAGCAGCATACTTGACTTGGGTGGTTGATAGTTCATCAGCTTCCCAGTTACCCATCCTAATATTATTGGGTTTCTCCAACTGTCCAAAACAAAAGCAATAACGAAATTTGGTTAGCGCATGACAATTTGCAACGCCATCCTAGACTCAATTCTTACCAAAGGTAGGGGCTCTGTTCCCACTGACTGACCCCAAAAAAAACCAATGTACCCATTTAGAAACATATTTATTCTCTCTTAACCCAACTTCTAAATCAATATTCCATTAAATTTTCGTATAACCAGGATCCGAGCTCTCAGGTACTGACTATACAAAATCTTCACATGGCAAAAAATCACAAACATAAGCTCAGAGAGCATGAAATTTAAACAAAAAGTAAGGAACATTAGGATCTTCAAATACATGATAGGTGCCTCAAAAGCTACACGAGCCAAAACACCTTCAGCCAATCACCAAGTAAACTGAACTTCCAAAAATAATATGAAGACAAACAGTTCATGTTAATGTTGGCTATCATATTGTCTAGTGGGCAAGCTTTCTATGCTTCCCCTACTGCATCAAACTTACATACTCTCCCGCCCATTCTGAATGGACGACTAAGATGGCCCCAATCACAATGTCACGTCTCTACACTATTTTATTTTTAATTTTTAAATATTTTGACACCATATTTTGGGCATCTACTCCTCTCTTAAACTCGTACTTGTAAAAAATATAAAAAAAAATATTCCCAATAAAATAAAATGACCAAAATACCCTTGAAAGTTTCAAGGGGTATTTTGGTCATTACATTTTATCAAAAAACTATTTTTAATATTTTTTTTAGGTGCGCCCCATTGAGAAGGTGTCACGTAACAAATTTCATATTCATACAATTTGCAGAAAAAAAACTAAAAATAAAATACTCTGAAGCCGGATCTAAATCAAATGGTCAATGGCTCACTTGATCTAAATTGGATAGCTGATGTTTGGGGGGGGCCTGGCTTCAATGCTATCGGGGAAATATAGAAACCTTTCCCTTGTCTAGTTGGGGCAGAGAAGTTCTGAATAATACCAGAGTTGTTGCTTGTTTATTAAACGTTATCAATCAACATATTTTTGCAAGATGGAAAACTTTTAACAGGTGTACACCTGGCTTGAGTGAGAATTTCATGATTGTCCCAGAATGTTTAATAGATATAGCTATCCGGAAAAATAAAAAAGTATAGACATCACTCAATGTCTTCCGATATAATTAAGTTCCAACCTTATTAGTCCAAACTCCGGCAGCAACTCAACTAAAAGCCTTTTAACCCAAATTTAACTAGGGTGATCAGTCGGAATCTCCATATTCAACAACATAATACAATCTAAGAAACATTATTTGCCTAGGAAATGATCTTCCATTCAAAATCAAAACAACTAAACAAAGAAATCTAATTTGAAACAACACATAGCCAAATTTCTTAAATGACATTTTCTTGATAAAGCAGTAAGTTGAACGATCAGAGGCGTATAGAAAAGATCGATAATATTTCACCAGCATTTTCAGCAGTGCTTAGTTGCACAAAGCAGGAGCAGAAGCAGGGAAAGGAGTTGAATAATGCTAGCTCAGGATTGCCAACTGAATTACCATACTTTACATAGATATGCACATATATACATGCATACCAACATACATCATCATCATCCAAGCCTTAACAATTATTTGGGGCCGGCTCATACCAACATACACGCACTTCAAAATATCTATGGACTTTGACAGACAAATAAGACAAGCATTTAAGGATGAAGTATTCTAACAAAAAACAGCAGCAAAAAAGTATCCACAGATAATATCAAACAAACCTGTTTGCTTGTAAGCATTTCAGCTAGAGAGGAAAGGCTCCATTTCTTTGCATATTCCCCAAGTTTGCGATTTGCAAGACCTGATAAATCTTCTAATACCCTGATGTGAACATTGTAATCATAAAGTATCTTTTTAGCATCATTTGCTATGCAAACTCCAACCTGCAAAAGAGAAAGCGAACACTTTAGCAATGTAACACCATTAACCCAAATTGAGACTAAATTCTATACAAAATACACAATCTCAAAGATGGAAAAAAATTTGACTCAAAAGAAGTTGGAGCAAACCTTAACTAATGTATCATCTTCCAAAAGTGATTGTAAAAGTGGAGGAATACCAGAGTGGAATATATGCATCACGAAACAGTAAGCAGAATCGACACATATCTGCATCACTGCAGCTTTTCTGGGAACCTCCCCTGCAAGGTCCCAATTTTGCACTTGCAATTCAAGACTTTACTAGGGCAGCACCAAATAATACTAATAATCTAAGTTCAATACTAGAAGTTAATGTTTGAAACACTATATTTTACTCAACTCAAGATCTAAACTGAACTGCTTTACTACCATTCGGTCCACTTTATGATTCTAGCACCACTGCTAAATCAACTATCACAATGAGAATCTCACTAGCCTGAGACAGGGACACTAAATATATATCCTCCCTACCTAATACTACTAAAACCAAATAGATCAGAATGTGCAAAAGCAACAAAAAGTTCAACTTTCATGGGTCCCATTTGGTCAAAAACTAATATATGCAGTTGAGCTGCCTCAAATTTCCAAATGCAATGATGAACTAAGCATAGCAAGTAAGGTCAGTCATATAGACGCCAAAAAGACGAAAACAAATTTAATGCATCCAGACTGCATCTTCAACAAATTAGAACTAACCTCGCTTGAAGATGGGTCTCCATTCAATGTCGAATCCCATTGAAATGCAATCTGTACTCTGTCTCTTTGCCTCAATAATCTTCAATAGTTGCACTGTAGCACTCTCAACTTCCGCTAATGTTCTGCTATATACAATACAACCTCCAAAATTCATCACTGGATACCTGACCTGTGGACTAACTACAATAATTCAATCATATTATCAGTTATTTGAATCTATCTGCATAAAATCAAGGCTACTGTTCAATATCAACTCATTTATATATACAAGGTTCAAAGACGCAGATGTGGCCGCCAAGGCAGTTTGGGGTCTGGGCCGCTTAGGCGGGCGCCTAGACACAAAGGCAGCTCAGATGATTCTTGTTTTTTCAACCTAAGTTGCACTTCAAGACATTTATCAAAGCGATTTACAATTGACAAAAGGAGTGCAATAAATTAATATAGCTACTCATGGTTATTGTTACATGCAAAAAAGTCAATCCTACCAGTTTTTAGTTTACCAATAAATTAATATAGCTACTCAACTAGAAATAAAATCATATGGTTGGTGGGAAAAACCACGGAACTCAATGGACAGTTCCTGGATTTTGCAGGGTCAGAACTGATACCCTTCATTAATGAGTCTATAACTCTCAATTCCCTAAATATCGCTCACTACAATTTTACAGGTAGATCCTACTCTCAAAGACACACAATATCACTGAAGTATGTAATAGAAAAATACATCATTATCTTCTTCATATCACTGCTCCAAAATATAGCTCAGAATACCCATTCTGTAGAGTGCCTTTTTCGGTGTTTGAATATTCCAATAATTTTTAACCGTGAGTGTATTGCTTGACCACAAAGGTCATCGACTTTCTTATATCTCATTCTCAAGCTTGATCTAGACTTAGTAAAGAAAAAAGATAACTAATGGCATCAAGTAAAGAAAGACTATTGTGATCTTGCCGAGGAATATATTTAGTTTATTTTTCTTCTTTTCACCCCTTTTCTTTTCTTTTCTTTTTCTTTTGGCAAAGATCACTTACAAGTAGTATTATTACAATAACTCTTGCTTCAAAAAAAATTAAAGCTAACAAATCCAACATCTTAAAAGCCTTGATTTCATTAAACCAATTTTTTTTAAACAAAGAAAATATCTACAATTCTTATGCTTGGGAATATAAAGACAATATAATTAAATATGACAAGAAAGAAAAGATAGTGTCGGAGTTACCTCAACCTGGCTTATTACACCCTACACAGAGTCACCACCATCCGATGGCGTGGGATCAATGATCAACCTTCAATCTCAACCGGGGAAAGCAAGTTTAGGTCAAGTCACACCAATAGTGCATGAACCCCTTTGATCACAAACTCAAACCCTAGGTGAATTCCTTTAGCAACCTAGTTTGAGAGATATGGATTTTTTTTTTGCTATACCCTAAAACCCTTAACCATAAATCCATAGTTGAGAGATGGGAGAGAGAAGAACCCATAACCTAAACCCTTAGCACTTTTCTACAATGTAGGAGAGAGAGATAAAAAATGAGAGAGTGGGACATGCCCCCCTTTGGGCTTTCATGAGAGAAACTTTCTTAGGATAAATATAAAAAGATAAGGTGTAGAGATTTTGGGTAGAGACTATCCTTTTTTATAAGTTTTAAACAATATTAGGGTTTGTTAGGATTTTCCTTGGCATGCCTCTTTTTGTGATATTGAATATGAACCATTGATCTTGAGTGACTTGTAGGGTGAGAGATTTGAGCCATCTATTTTATAGATGAGCCATCAACACTATGGAAGATGCTAGAACCTTTATCCCCCGCTTTCCTTTGACCATTATCCCATCAATATAAATCAAATAAAATCATATCAATCGTAATAGTGTGTTTTATCCAAAAATATGCACAAGCCTTATCAAGCCTTTTAAAAGATTCACTCAAATCTTCTTTAATCACTTATCCCATAAAAGATAGGAAACCCCCTAAAAGTGGTGCGTGCCACCCATGGGAATAGGAAGCCCCAAAAATTGGGGCGTGTCGCCCATGTAGTGGCTTTTGTTGCCCCCACCAATTTAGGGCATGGTGGGCCCATGTGCACAATGGGCCCCAATGCTATTTTTATATATTTAAAAATTAATAAATGATTTTAGAATTAACTTGAATATTTAAAACATTAAAAATTAATATCACTATTTTTATAAATCCAAATTTTAAAAATAAAATATCCATAGATCTAGAAAAATTCAAATAATAATTTTAAAATCATATCATCATAAAGTTAACACAATTAAATTCATTAGATGGGATAAGGATCTATATGGTCTGAGAATAAATGATCTGGGACACTCCACCTTCAACTATGGACTACGTGCCACACTTTCTTTATCAAACTGACTCAGTGTTTTTCATGACCCACAATCCATGCAGGGGCTCATTAGTGGGTCACCAAATTCTAGCCGATGAGTCAAGGGGTCACAATTCCAGTATGTGGATTTCAGATTATCCCCTAGAGACGAGCCAAGGTCATCTAAACCTGATGCAACCACAGCTCCTATGGCGCATAGGGGTATCTCTCGTACATGCATAAGCTTCACCTTGAAAAATGGTTTACTTTCCCGAAACGGTCTATCAGTCGTGTGATGGTACATGGATAAGGCTTTGATCCCGTCTCTGAAGGCCACCATCCATACAAGGGTCACAGAGTCCCTCGGCTTACTCATTCAGGCATACTCTGACATCATCAAGAGATGACACATTAAAATCTTTATCGGTTAATTCTCTATGCCTAGGTAACATAAGTTTTTGACTGGCCTAGACAGTCAAACACAATCCAGTATCAACAAACATTGTTTACTTAATATAATCCACGAGAAACCATACTCCCACTGAGTTCATTTTCCACTATATCATTTCATTTTACAAGCACTCATAAGACCTTTAATAACCACACTCACCCAACACATCCGCCTCCATGTTTTTCAACCTTGTTTTCCTCAAAATAAGCATGGTCCAGTACTCTAGTCTTACTCAAATTTTTGAAGGTACATACCTATTATATCCATATTTATACAAAGCCATATCATAGAGATTCCCAAACATATTAATGCAAAATGAAACCCGCAATATTCAAAACTCACCCCCCACCCCTCCCACTCACACAACCCACCCACTACCAAAAAAATAAATAAATAAGAAATTAAACAACCAAGAGAATCATAGCAACTTAACCCTATAAAATTCACGGGGTTATAACCAAAAAACGGAAGAAGAATCCAATTCCTGTTTGGGTCAATTTGATGGTACCCGCATAATGCCTAGTACCTTTCAATCCACAAAGTGCAGGACCTTGAACCAATGTTACAAGTACTACTATATCATTCCCTAACCAAACTTTTGAAAAATCATATGAAAGAAAAAAAATTAAAGAAGAGCAGAAATAGAAAATAAATGTTTTTACCAGCTTTAAAAGGTCTAAGTGTGCATGGAGAAGATCCCCAAGAAGGAGGAAGCGTTCTCTTTCGTTTTAAAGAAGCTGCTTCTGCAATTTCACATGCCTCTTCTATAGCTTGGAGCTCCTCTTCACTAATTGTGTCCCAATCAAATGCAGAACCAGCGCTCAGAGCATCTGCTTCCATTACAGACTGAAAGCCTAGTTTTCAAAAACCCTAGCTAGGTTTCCAATCCTCTAAATGGAAGCAAATGCAAGACTAAATTTTCGTAAAAAGAACATCCAATTCTTGAAAATGAAGAAGAAAAACAGAGATTCACAATGGGAACAAAGAAAACACAAACTTTTTGAATAAGGAAGAAAATGTATTTTCCAAATGGATGTAGAAAATCACAAACCTACATTTTTTTTTGGGTAAATAAATCAGCAACAGAAGATTCAACACTAAAATCAAAAAAAAAAGGAGCGAAGATACTGGGAATGGAAGAGAAAATCCCTAATGCTGCAGAAAAAAGAAGACAAATCCTAATAATTTTGCAAACGAAAAAGAATCCCTAGCTTCGGAAATGGTCTTAGATAACCCTAATTTTGTGGAAATGGATAAAGAACCCCTGATTCTGGAACAATAGAAACCCTAACTTTGAAGTTTGAACTCGAAAAAGGGCGGGGCGGCAAATTTTTCATTGCAACTTTCAAAACCCAAAAGGTCGAGGTTTTGATACGGCTGCTCTCCTCAAAAACTTGCAGTATCACTTCGGACAAAATATGTGCATGCGGAAGGAACAAAGACCGTTCATAACCGTACCTTCTAAGAATGAACGGTACAGATGCAGCTATATGCATAACTAATTTGTGTCCCTTGTAGCATCACCCATCTATCTTAAAGATGGATTTGGAGTTGTGGTCTTCTAAAAGGTTTATATAAAGGTGAGGCTCTAAATAACCAAGACGTAACTCAAAAATTCACTTCAAGAGGATGTTTTGATGCTCGAGTATCCTCAAATCGATCATCTAGACATATGGACAAGAGAAAAAATAAATATGAAGTGTTGGAAATTGTGCATCTTGCAATGCATTTTTTGGACTATTAATGTTTAAGATTTTAAGTAGTTCATAGATCAACTCGATGTACAGTATTTTTAAAGCTTTAATTTTTGTAATTAGAGATGAAAATAAACTTTTGAGGCCATTACAAAGATTTTCGGATCTGAACATCCTTTGATACTATTTGAATGCGCATCTTTGCTTGTTTAGGGCCTCAGCCATTACACTAATGCTTCCCTTCTATACAAGCACAAAATTAATGGTTTAAAATTTTCCTTTGAAAATTATCAGTTCTAATTTTAAAATTTATTTTTTCTTTACGCATTCATGATCTTTATACATACCTAAAACAATAGGTCCAAAATCCATCTCAAAATGGATCATGAAGGGGGAACACATATCTATATAGGAGTCCTAGCACTCATAAAAACCATGTCCACATGCCGAACAAGTTGGATAGGATTTTAAAAAGAAGTAATATGTCCAGCCCACTGCTTAAACAGTGATATGTCCACATTGTCATGCTGTTATCATATGGATCAAACTGCATTTTTCCTTGTCACAGTGGCATGAACCATTGGAGACCCTCATAACTTAACCGACATAGGAAATTAATCATTATCCATACCCATCTTCAAGCTCGTTGATATGTGACTTGGTGAGATTTTTGGGAAGGAACCTTGATGCATTGAACACTCGATGCCTCTGTTTTATTTTGGCAGGTTATTGCCTTATTTTGTAGTTTATTTTCTCATAGCATCAATATGTTCTTGTGATTTTTAGAACCCGAGTACATGCATTGGAGAGATCATTCATTCCATACAAAGGAAGTTAATGATAAACAAAAAATCAAGTACCTAAAAGGTAAACCATGAAAGAAAAACTGCTGTTTTGGCTCTTCAGTTGGACCGTGTTGCTCTTCCATATGAACGAAAAAGATCCCAGAATTCCAATTTACAGATATAATCATTGCGCCGCAATTCTTAAATTAACACCCCCTAACCCTCCTTCAATTCTTTTTTTGGGTATGTTAGTGGTGGGATTGAAGCTGCGACGTCGTACTGCAATTGTCAACACAGTAACCATTCATGCCCAGTGTCAAGTCCTTCAAAATGAACTCCGCAATGTGTTGTATCTTGTACCAATCTTCACACACCCCATCATCTTCCCCACATATCCATCAAGTTACTCGAATTTGTAGATTTGGTAGGTTCAGGAGCATTGGAAATGGGTCTTCTTCTAAATCACATTCCGATAAAATTATTACGCTTGAGTTTTGGAGGCAACTGAACCTGTTAGGTAATTTGGCTAAAAGCACTCTTAATTGCATTTTCTCTAGGAACTTTGGAGGAGATTCCAGCGATTGCGAGTGCAGAAATTCTGATGCATCAAACTCATTTCTAAAAGAACTCGGGCGTAAGGAACAGAGGCAATTCAGTTTGCTAATGGAATTGAACAAATATACATACCACCAGTTAATCACTTCAACTATTTCCAATTTATTGAATTGGGGCAACTTGCCCAATACTTGTTGTGTCCAGTCACCAGATTGTACACTAGTTAGTGTTTCGAGGTTCGTCAAACCCACCTCTTCGAAGGCCTCCGAAATGGTTGCATTTGAAAGAAGCAGAAGCCTCAATCTTCGCATCATCCACACGCCGGTTGGCATCTTCCAGTTCATTTAAGGAACGATCGCTTAAATCCAGGGTTTCCAGATTTCCAAAACTTGATAGAGAACTGAGAAGCCCCATCTCGATGTTACACTGCTTACAAACGACAAATGAAGGCAAAGCATCTCCATAATGCTCTTCCTTAACTATGAGTCTTAGGCGCTGGTACCTTAGATGATTGAAGTCCCTCAAATCTTGGGGTATGTGTCTCAATGCGACGCGATTAAGATCCAACACCCTTAGCAGGTTTTACATGAAAGTTTTGTTCAGCATGTTCTACGACGCGATTAAGATCCAACACCCTTAGTAGGTTTAACATGAAAAAATTTTGTTCATCATGTTCTATTGGATACCGGAACAGATTCTTGAGCATTTCAATGTCATGGAACACAATATGGGTCATTGCAATGAATTGTTAATCTGTGTGTCCATTTTGGTGATATGTTTTCTATGTTGTCACATATTCCACAAAACTTCTCCTCAATAACCATTGCAAGTTAGAGATGATGCAGAAGATCATGGACACGAAATGATTTGATCCGCTCTCACATTTCCAAGCTGTGGCCTGAGTTGTTTCTTTTTTGGCCAGAGTTGTTTCTTTTTTGGCCAAGTTTCAGGTCAGGACTCTTCAAGTTCTGACAGAAATCTTTTTGATAAAAAATCGGGTGGAAGTTGGAGATCTGACCATGCTTGTGTCCCTTTTTTTCAAAAAGTTTCCTCCAAAATACCCTTGAATCGGACTGCTAAGTTCTAACCCGGCTTTTTCTATTTTTGGACAGCTTTTTGGGATCAGAATTTGGAGTTTTGACATATTTTTTAAAAAATTTGGCTTGGAAATTTGATATCTGACCTGGTCATTAAAATAAAATAAATGTTTTTAAGATTAGATTGAAACTTCATTCTGGCATAGATTTTTATAAAACCAATTATGAAAAACCGAGTTAAAAGTCAGAAGATATGGTCAGAAGTTGGAGATCCGGCCTGGTCATACAAAAGAAAAACCGAGTCCAACATATTTTTTTCGAAAAGTTCATGACAGATCATGAATTTCCAACCCAAAACTAGGCCAAGAAACAAAAATATTTGGGTCGGAAATTGGAGTACCAATGAAGGGGCACTTATCGTAAAAAAAAAATTATAATTTTTTTTTTTATAGAAAAGCAACACAAGCATAAACTTTAATATATAGAGGATATTTTTAAATATTGCAAAAAAAAAGATGGCTATAAAAATTTCCTAAAAAATATTTATTATAGAGAATTCATACGAAAACCGATTCATCAAATATGTTAACTAAGCTCATTGGGGATAATAAATTCGCTTGATGTAAAACTTCCTTCAAGCTTAATGTTATTTAATGATTCTAACTTATAGGGAACAAATTATTTAAGTAAAGTTATATGTATTAAAAGGTCATTTGGATAATTTGGATAGTGTTCATTATTTCTTTGGGAATGGGAAAAAACCGATGTTTAGGAAGTTGGAAGGAATTTCTATAAGGAAAATATATAATGAGATCATTTACTTTTGGTACAAGGTGGTCACTATCAATCTTGACCGTAGGATGTAAAATTGGGTGGCTGCATGTATTTCATTAACCAAGCTCAAAGTTCAAAAGAATTGAACTTAGTGACACATCCAAGCTATCAGATTTCACATTGTAGGGTCATAAACAATTGTGACCTCCTTGGACTAAAGGTAAATTGTCTCATTGTATACAATCTCATTTCTATAATTGATGGGATATTCTTACAATCCAAAGATATGGGATCGAGGTTTCTTTATGAAAATAGTGAGTTCATGTCCTAGAAAAACATATGAAAAAAAAAAATTATGAGAAAAAAGGATGAGTTTTCTTTTGCCTTTTGAGTGAGTATTTTAGATAGAAAAATAGAATAAAATTGCTTTAAGACCTTTTTTTTTTTTTTAGACCTGCGAGGAAAAACTCTCAATGTTTGTATTCTTTACGCTATCACGGTGTTTTTTGAATTAGTGGAAGATAAAAATTTTAACCCCAAAATCTTTGAGGTGACACCTATCAATTTTTCAAACAGTTCTTTTTCTCATTTATTTTAACTAAATTTGATTTCTATCTTCTACTTTTGATAAGACCAACAAGTGATACAGCAACGCAGCTAATTCAAGGGATAGGCCCATTTCCTATCCCCAACTAAAAAGGACTAATTCATTTCCTAAAGTTAATTCAGCCCTAATAACAATATGGCTCGCTTATATGCCTATTTTTCCAAGTTAGCACACTACAAAAGTTTATTCAGCCCTAATAACAATATGGCTCGTTTATATGCCTATTTTTCTATGTTAGGACACTACAAAAGTTTATACTATGAAGCATTCAATTTTAGTACAAAGAGCCCATAATCACCTTAGCCATTAGATGTAAAATCCGACAGATTGAAGTGTGACAATTTCGAAAATAAATTTATTTTGGGCTTTCATAATTTTACATCTAACAATCAATAATAATTATAATCTCCTTATACTAAAAATAAATGGTCTTATTATCTATATTTTCATAAGTTACCATGGACATACACTTAACAATTTTAAGTGTACAACTAAAATGCCCCTATGTTTTTTTGGGAAATTGTTGTATGCGTTGTGGGACGCACTCCTACATTTGCGTCCCACCCCCTAGGCCCAGTATCCATCTTAAAAATTGATGCAAATGCGTAGTCCCTCCAAAAAAAAGTTAAAACTAATGGTCTAATCTCTTAATAAATTCATTATTTTTATTTTAAAAAATTTATTTTTCTTCATAACAGGATCCCCATGTTGGAAATTATATATTGCTAAAAAAAATGGGAAAGGTTTCTATACTTGCCTTATGACATAGAAATCTATGCTTCCCCTACCATCCAGCCGTCCAATTTTGATCAAGAGAACCACTCATCGTTTGATTTTAAATCCAACTTCTCAAAGTATTTTATTTTTAACTATTTTTATACAAGTTGTGTAAATATAAAATTTGGTTTGTGCCATATCCTCATTGGGGCACACTTATAAAAAATATTAAAAATAATTTTTCGATAAAATAAAATGATCAAAATACCCTTAAACCTTTCAAAGGTATTTTGGTCATTTTATAACATTGGAAATTTTGTTTTTATATTTTTCGCTAGTGCAAGGTTAATAGAGGATTGGACATACAAAATTTTGCATTAAAATAGTTTGTAGACAAAAATTAAAAATAAAATAGTGTCCAGACATGACATTGAGATTGGGGCAATCTTAACCCTCCGTTCAAAATGGAGGGTTGGATAAAGAGAAGTATATAAGGTTTACGTTGTAGGAGAAGCATAAAAAGCTTGCCCCTAAAAAATTAGGTCCAAAATCCATCTCAAATGTAGATTTTAAAATGGTACTCCTTTCTATTTATGAATTCAAGTACTCATGGTCCATCTCAAAAGTAGATTTTAAAATGGTACTCCTTTCTATTTATGAATTCGAGGACTCATGGAAATCATGTCATTTTTCCAATGAAAGCGCACCTAAAATGTTGCTGCCTAGGTGAAAACTTAGGAATCCCCGGATTTTAACCGAGTGCCTCTTTATATTAAGGGATTGTATATTATAAGATCATTTATCTTTGTTACAAGGTCAAGATCATTCCTAGCGGTTAGATGGCTGGGCACGTATCATAAAATTCAATATTTTTTTTATTTTTGGACTACATCAAATCAATGTCACTCTTACAACCAACCGATTTGAAATCTAACAAGAGTGATTTTGGTTATTTTAAAGATAGTTTTTGGTTTGCTGTATGATACACCTATTCAGTCTCCATGAAAAAGATTTAAAAATAGGAGACCCTGGAAAGCACCATAAACTGTTGGTTTTATCCAAGTTTGAGATGCAAGGTGATTTAGCTGACATCTACATCTCCAAGTTAGACACAGATCCTATGGTTGTGAAGCTTTTCCTACATAGAAACAAGAAGGCAATTTCTCCATGACTAACATTTCTTAAAGAGGAAGATGAGACAAAAACTTACAATTTATAACACCCCACATTAACCACTACAAAAATAAGAACTCAACTCTCAAGGCAGGCTTGTTCAGCTCTGAGCGACCTGAAAAACAAAACAGAAAATATTAAATTACCACCAACACTCCAATAAGGAAAAAATAAAGGCACTTACTTAGCTAGAGAGAGAGAGAGAGAGAGAGAGAGAGAGAGAAACTGACAGATTTATTATTATTTTGCCTGCTCAAGATGCCTGCTTATTTTGCTTCATCATATCGACAAATTCCTTGAAAACTGCAAAAGGGGCCAAATAGGTAGGTTACAACATGAACTTACTGTAAATCAAACAAAGTAATACTCTCTAAATTGACAAAATGAACTCTTTTACCACCCATACATAAAACATCGATGCTGTCAAAAGTAGACACATGTATGTACACAAGGACTACGAATGGAATCAGTTCTCGCATCTACACGTACAACATACATATGGCTCATATAAATATGAAATTGCATGAGGAGGAGCATATTAAATTACAATCTCATGACATGAACAGGTACCAATAAACAAATTATACCATTAGAAAAGGGACCTATTTTTTATGCCCATCTCTTTAGTAACCAAACCAGTCCTCATCTATGAGACGAGTTCGTTCTACATGATGCATCCAAAATATATGCATCATATAGTTACTGGAAAGTGGGTTGAAAACTAGTACCCTTAAGAAAAATCTAAAATAATCATTAGTAAGTGGCAATACAAACATAAAAAGAAGAGGATGAAGGGCATTTTACCAGTGTCTGAATCATGAGGGCCAGGTGAAGCTTCTGGATGGTACTGGAGAGACATCATTTTTTGAGCAGGGAAGGCAAGGCCAGCACAGCTTCCATCATTCAGGTTGATGTGTGTGACTTCCACGCCTTCAGGAAGAGATGCAGGGTCAACTGCATAGTTGTGATTCTGGCAATGCAAGAATGAATATGAGAGAGAAAGAGAGAGCGCTTTTTTACCAACAAAGCTTAGAAGGAAGACCCAAAAGGTGTTTCAATGTGAGAGAATACATAGAAGAGAGAGAGAGAGAGAGAGAGAGAGAGAGAGAGAGTTTAGGATTTACGGACCAAAACAGCATAAAAATAGAACATAGAAACAGTTTGCACTCTGAATGATAAAAAAACATTAAAATGAGGGGAGAGAGAGAGAGTGAGATACTCATTTATTGACCGACGACGCTTCACAAGAAAACACAACCAATTTTCCATCTCAATAACAACGAAACAGGATTATTGATAAGGACCTGAATGAGGAATTTTACTTCCACAATTAAGATTGTAGTTATTACCTGAGAACTGATATCTACTCGCCCATTCCGTAGGTCACGGACTGGGTGATTTCCACCATGATGACCAAATTTCATTTTGAAAGTCTTTCCACCCAATGCTTGCCCAAGAAGTTGGTGGCCCATGCATATACCAAAAACTGGTACTTTCCCCAGGATCTCTTTCACTGTCTCCACAGCATATGGAACAGCAGATGGGTCTCCTGGACCATTGCTAAAGAGAACACCATCTGGATTCATTTTTAGGGTTTCGGAAGCTGGCCATTTGGAAGGAACAACTGTAATCTTACATCCATATGATGCCAGCCGCCTTAAAATATTGTGCTTGACTCCAAAATCATATGCAACAACCTTGATCGAAAACATGAGAAAGACTGTTAATAACATGGAACCTTGCTCAAGTACAATGTCAACTTCGGCATTAAGGACATTGGACTTTGGCAAGAACCAAGATTGAAACTTTTGGATCTGAAGCCTTACTTACAGTTGAGAGTTCATCCAAGAAAATCAGTTAGAAAGAAAAACAGAAAATCAAGAAATTTCATACTTCGAAATCAAAATAGTGAAAAGGCATCCTCTTTCAATAGTTAAAAAATGGGATCAGTTAAAAAAATAAAAAAACTAGATCCCAAAGGGCTAATTTGCTCGCTGAAATTTGGAGTATACTGGCTGATACATAGATGCCAGCCTCTGTACTTTTGTTTCCTCAACGATGGAAATTGAATTTACCATTGAAAAGAGAAAACGACGAAATTCAATATTAGGCCAAACTTCACCAAAACAATGTTACAAGGCCAAGTTCAACTGACATGGAAACTTTCTGGATGACCCCCAGTTGCCTTGAATTCCCAAGCTGCATCAGTTTTGTCTAACCAATTATATGGTGCATCACAACTCACACTGGATATCAAATCAACACCTATGTTAAGAGAAAGAAACGGTATCACATCAAAACTTGCATAGTAATTCAAATTCTAACATTCAACTCGCCACTGCTCTTAATTGAAAGAAAAACACAACTTCAACGCTTTGATTTTACTCGTAGTTGAAATAGCACTGCTATACACACTGAATATGTATCAATAACTTAAACATTAACACCAACTTACCCACAATGTCCCAGTTACGAGCCATTTCCAATAATTCTTCATCAGTTTTCAATACTTCAGTACTAAGCACCCCTATAAGGCTTCCGTCTTGCCTTAATCTGCAGGTGATTGCCCGTGTGTCCACATCATCTGTTCCACATAATCCAGTCCAACAACAATTTGACAGATACCCCAACATTTTGATTTGTATATTGATCACTAGAGATCAGTCATAACAACAGGACTTGAACCATTCCAAAATATAGAATAGCAACATTGAAGTACAAAAACATAAAACGGCATGCATTGCTTCAGGACAAGCAATGTATTGACCATAAAATTATCTTCTCATTACAATAACCACATTACTTACATATTCCCATTATATTCCTTTTAGCTAAGAAATTTTCAAGAGTCTCCGTAAATTGCCAGTTTGAAGTACTGCAAAATAAAATAGATAAGTTCATAAACATATAATGATAAAAGAAGTAGAAAAACAAGTACATAGAGCGCAAAACAATCCTTGAAAATAAACCAGTACTGCTGGGTCAGAATCGATTAGAACCCCACGAATTTTCCCAAAGAACAGGAACCACAGCAATGTGTCCAAATGCCAAAGTGAAGTAATCATCTAACCCTGGAGAAGCCACATAGGATGGTTACGCCAGCTCTCAAAGCTTTTATAATAGAGGGTACCATCAACATATTCAGATTGTGCCAAAGGCGAGTTCATTTGGAGAGATTTTATACCCTTTAAAGTTTAAAAAAGATCCAGAAACCTACACAAGCGGTAATATAATAGACAAATTTAATATTTAATCCAGTAATTATTTTTAAATATTTTTTTATGGTTTAAAATGATGTATGACAATACAGTATTTGTTTAAGCATCCACTTCTTAAACTATTTTAACCATTTAAACTAACCAACGTCAAGCCAGAGAAAGCCGAGCAAGCTGATTTCACAGAGTGGTCAAAACTCATGACCCATCTGGTGTTTAAGGCATTCAAATGAGAAAAGAAATTCCATTTTTTCAAAAGTAACTGAAAACTCTTTTTCTTTTTCTGAATAAATTCACCAAAAAAAGAAGAAGATGGAAGCAGAAGCCAAATACCAGATACTCAGGCTTTTGATCACTAAACCTGCCAGGAAGCACTGTGCCGATTCTTCATCAACTGTTCAAAAGAAAACCAGAGATTGAAAGGAACTGATTTCTATTAAGAAAATGCTAATGTGTGTAAAAAAAAAAAAAGGGAAAAGAAAATACATATGTAATTGGAGGACCAATAGTCCATACCAGGATTAACGCCAGTGTTGCCTATATGAGGATTGGTCATCAGAACAAACTGGCCAGCATAACTTGGGTCAGTGAGAATTTCCTGATATCTGCATGTGCAAGTTTATAAATCAAATATGGTTATAAAATAAAGCTCATAAATCGGATGCATAAAAATTACAACAGCAAGAAAATCACATATAAAAGGATTAAAAATAATACTACATCAAGATATCTTAAAGACGAGATAATTTTAGACTACTGACATCATAAAAAATCCTTTAAAAGAAGCTATTCATAGTATATTTCAAAAGCAAGCATATGTTTTGTTTTGGTTTGGGGTTCATCATGATAACATCAGACAAATGAAATAATTACAATGGAGGTCCCTTCCTCCCTCTCACGCATGTGAACACACTCATGAGCAGTGAGACAGAGTTGTCCATTAGAATTCCTAAGAGTTTTTATGAAGTAAAAGGTGATTCCTTACCCAGTAAGTGAAGTGTTAAAAACAACTTCACCAACTTGTGTTCCTGAAGCACCAAATGACTTTGCCCGCCATACAGATCCATCCTCGAGCACAAGCCGCGCATCGCTTGTCTTCCAAGGCCTCACCCCTAAAATAATATCATGATATTATTGAATCCATATCAAATGTAACAATTGAAACTATACTAGAGAAAGAAGGAACATCTAGAGCATGTTAATTATGTTAAAAGCTAACCTCATGCTTTTCCAACAAACACAATAAGCATTGGCTGTCTTGGAAAATCAAAACTTTCTGGATGTGAAACGGCTCTTGAACCAAATGAGACATGAACAAGTTCAAATCCTTGCTGATTTTCATACATACGAGTCTGACTTTCATAAACATAAGGATCTAAGTTTTGTTCATTCATGTAGGATTTATAGAATTAGAAATACATACGTGATCTAAATTGAAAGAATAGCCAAATAGTTTAACTAACAACTTGACCCATCACTGTGTCTAGAGCTGCAATAGATATTGGACACATAGGCTACCTCGACAACTTCAATGTCATGAACTCCGAAACAAAGACACCAAGGATGTGTTTTCTATTATTGCTGCCCCCTCTTTCAATGCCGCACATTGTGATATACAAAATCCTTGAACCCCGCCCACAAAATAAACTTGAACTTGACTCTTTTCTTACATATAATAAACCCAAGATTGATATTTAACACTAAAGTTATATAGATCATTGTTTCAAAAAGCGGGCCGCCCAGCGCCTGGGCATCCGCCTAGGCGGATATCCCTGGGTGCCCGCCTGAACCCGCCTAGGTGGCCGCCCAGGGCCTGCGCCCTACCCAGGAGCAAAAATGCAGGGTCTTTTTTAAATACTAAATGGGTAAAATTGTGGGTTTTAGCTTCATTTGAAACCTAAAACCCATTAGAGGCTATTTTTGAACGAGAAAACCAAATAAAAATTATTTTTCTAGTGGGCCGCCCAGGTTCTAGGCGCCCTCCTAGGCGTTGGGCGGCTTGGACCCCCTGACCGCCTAGGTGCTGCCTAGCGCTTTTTGAAACACTGATATAGATACGACCACCATTCCAATCACCAAAAATCCACTCATGCCACAGTCAGAAGATCAGCCCCAATCTTCCCATGTGGAAGAGCAATATGAAACCTCCCCTGGGTTATAATTGTTGAACCTAGGCCAAGCCCTTTTTCCCCAAGCTCACTTTGACTGTGTTAGCCGATAAACATCTATTCGATGAGACCATTCGACAATCCAATTTTGGGATTTCAAGGACCAAATGCAACCCAATCCATCAATCAAAACTTAGACCATTATCAATGAGACTTTGGCAGTCCATATGCATCCCCAATCCAACAATCTCCTTAAAATTCAGCCAAATAGCTCTCAGATTGTTTTTCATTTGATAGTTAGGCAGACAATGAGGGAAGTAATTCCTTCACCATCATATCGGGACAAAATTCCCAGTTTCCCAACACTTATGGGACAGATTATAGACACCAATACATTACTTCGTTTGTTTCGCAGAAAATGACAACATTGAATTTTCAATTTTAATCACTCAACTTAGATTGTTAATTCAAAATTCAACACATCTGCATAATGTCAGGAGGAAAAAAAAAAAAAGGTATCAGCTTTACCCAGGGAAAGATGCATTCAAACTTTGACATGCATCCTTGATCAAGTTTCTATCTAGCTGCTGGAAGAACCAACCCAATTGCTGAAATAGATTTTGAACCATCTCTCTAGCACTTGCAGAAGCTCAATTCCCAAGTAAAAGAAACCATAATGTTCAAAGATTTTCAGATTGAAAAAAAAAAGAACCATGCACTCAAAATGAATCATGCACTCATCTAGTCGAGCTCTGACATGAATCCCAAAAGTGAGAACCTCATTTTGCTCAAAACTAAACCCAGATGACAAACTCACCCATATCACAATTTCGAATGCAAGAAATTTTAGTCGAAATAAAGCGATTATGAATTACCTGTAACACTCCCATCCGTAGATAAAGAAACAGAGCATCTGATACACAAGCCTCCTCGACCATTTCCCTTTATAGGCAAACCACCATTTAAAGCATTAGGCCCTAAAATTTCCATGAATTTCGAAGACATTTTTTCTCCTGAACTTCGGCAACTGAGACGGAACCCTAACGGATACTCCATTGTTTTCAAAGCCATTTTCGTCTTGGAGTGCTAAGCTAACAGGCAAACCCTAATTGTTAAATGGAAGTTAAGCAATCATCAGTAAACCGAATTTAACAAGAACAGGCACCCCACATTTGGGTATGTAAGGGCACGTTTAGTTAGTAAATATTTACACCGAAAAATATTTATGTAAACATTTTGTAAAAAAAATTTTGCTAACTTTCTCTCGCCATGTTTGTTAACATTTTTAGCAAGGAAAATGTTTGTATAGAGCCGAGGCTCTAGACAAACAACTTAGAGCCCACCTCAAAATCTCATATGAAGAAGTTGTTTTGAATCTCATATTGATCATCTTGACATTAAGATGCATAGACATGAGAAAAAATGGATTTCAAGTTTTGAAAATAGTGCACCTTGTAACGTATTTTTGGACCGCCAATTTTCAAGACTTTCAAGTTTTTATATATGTGCTCCATCTATCCTATTTTGAAGCTTTAAATTTTATAATTATAAATGAAAATATATTTTAAGGCTATCACAAAGATTTTCAATATTAAAACCATATTTCTCGATACTATTTGATGATAGGCTCTAATTTGATTGTTTAGAGCCTCGGCTCTATACAAACTACACCCTCTTTAAAAGGCAATGTGTAATGAATTACACATGTTTGGTATTTTAATATATCTTGTAAATATATTAAATCTATATATACATTATTTAAATACTATAATTAAAAATATATATAATTATATTTATGTAAATACTATTGAAATTTTAAATATTAAATATTATTGTCATATTAAACATATTATATTCTAAATATCTATTACAAGTATTTATTTACATTTGATACAAGGTGGTCACAATCAATCTTGACCATTGGATGTGAAATTGTGTGGGTGTATTTATTTCATTGATCAAGTTCAAACTTCAAAAACAAATTTTTCGAACTTTGTGACACACCCTAGATATCAAATTTTACATCTAATGGTTGGAATTAGTTGTGACCACTTCGTATTAAAAATAAATGATCTCATTCTATACTTTTCCTCTAAATATTATTAAAATATTATATATTAGATATTATTTAAATAGTATTTATATATTAAATATGCATGGTTTCCACGAGTCCATGTAGAAATGAGTCACCTCTTAAAAATCTATTTTTGAGATGGATTTTTTGACTTAATTTTTAAGGACATTTATTCTCTAACATGGAGATCATGAATATGAAAAATAAATAAATTTTAAAAATTAAAAATAATAATTCTATTAAAAAAAATTTAGATGGACCACCTACTTGCATCCATCTTTAAGATGGGTGCTTTATACCTCGAGGACCACAAATGTAGAAATGCAGTCACTGCCACATGAAACAATTCTTTAATATTAACTTTTATATTATAAATATCTATTACAAAAATAAAATTTTTAAT